TTTAGTTGCTGTTCAAAACAGCGTTTCACCGTCCTTTGGACAAAACCATGTGTTTCAATGTGCTTCCTTTCCACGCATTTGTCGGCCCTACGTTGTCGTGCCAGAAACAGGCAAGTGCGCACGAAGCAGGAAGATCTTCCGGCAGAATCTTTGGTTCTAATTATTTGCTTGCCCCTTGCTTTTCAGGGCCCTATAGCGTCTATAAGGGTTCTTTTAGGGGTTTGGGATTGAGGTTTCCCGTGAACCCATAAGCTCTTTTGTTGTGGGCTCTTCTATGTTAGGGTTAACTTTGACCCGGTAAACGGAGTGCTCTACCCGGAAGGCTTTGCACTGATTTTCCGTATCCCGAAGGCCTTTCGCCGGCTTGACCCACCGAAATTCCTTCGCCCGAAGCCACAAACCGGCTTCTGGACCGGAAACCTTGCCGCGAAGGCTTCAAGCCGAATTGTGGATTGGAAGCCCTGAAGGCCCTCAACTGAAACCGGATGCTCGGTTGGACGCCCACCCAAAGCCCCTATAAAAAATCAAAGCCCTTCCCCATCCTTCCTGAAGTCGGATCCTAAACCTGGCTAAAGAGCTTACCCCGAAGGCCTTAAACTTAAACCGAATTCTGGGCTGGAAGTCCGCTCCAAGTTTCCTACCCCGAAGGTGTTAAACCGGAATTTGGAAAGGAAGCCCAACTACAAACTCATGACGGCGCAGCAGTGCTGTCGTCATGAGTACTCCTTCAACAAGCAATATCCGAATTATCATTATGGACCTTGGACCAAGAAACCTTGCCACCATTTCGGTCTCTTCGAGAAAAATGGTAAAAGTCTTCAACAGAAACAGGCTACTCCCCCGCCCGCCCCCCCCAACGCTCTAAACGGTTTAGGGTGTAGTGATCAAGGCTGTGGGGTTGAAGGTAACCCCAACATGGCCGCCTGCCCTAAGCTCAACACCCTGCCCATTGTCTTTGGAGGCGAAGAAAAGCACAGCCACGGAATCCCTCCCCGGGACGTTTGCCTTCGAAAGCTACTGGGCACATGCCGGCGATAGAAGGCTTCAGAGAAAAAGGGGATTGACAGTACTCCTGGTGTTGCGGGTTTAGGGTCTCGGGTATCCGACTGTTTTCTCAAGCATTGAAAGCTGGAGCCAATGTTCCTGAATCCCTAAACCCTGAAACTCAAAACCCTCAAGCTATCTAAAGCTCCAAGGTTTGCCGCCGCAGCTCTGCCCCCTGGCCCTGGGGACAGCAGGACTGGCTCGAGGTGCTTGGTTAGAAGTAGGGAACACGAGCACCCAGGGAATTTCCGTGTTGGGACTTTAAGTTTAGGCTTCGGGAACTTAGCCTCAAGGCCGGGTTGAGTGTCTGAGGAATGTTGGGGTTGGGGTGTGGGAATCTTTGGTTGCTTCTTTCTTTCTGCCTGAAAGTCTGTGCTGGGTGTTTACGGGATGTCGCTTGTTCTACCCGTTTGCAAGTGGGACACCTGGACGCCTGCTTCCGGCAGAAACCCCCCATCGAGCGACGGCAACACCCAAAAAGGAATGTGTCGCTGCCACATGTTGTAGGCCTCATAGATATAGAAAACGACTTTGGGTATATTGGAGCAGGATGATTCTCTAAGGCCTAGCAGGCGCTGCTTCTACTCTGTTCACTCTGCACAGTTGCTCTTTCCGTTCTTCCGTTCGGCCTCTAGAAGCCTTCACAAGCCTGACCCGAATACGTGAGCCAAGCATGCGAGGGCGTTCTCCAACTAGCATGGCGCTCCTATGCCAGTGCTCCAAGAGCTCAGGTCATATTCGCGTTTAAGGTCCATTGCTTTGGGAGGTTAGGGTTTAGGGTTTAGGGTTTAGGGTTTAGGGTTTAGGGTTTAGGGTTTAGGGTTTAGGGTTTAGGGTTTAGGGTTTAGGGTTTGGGGTAGCCGACTCAGAGAAGTCACAGAGACCATTAAGATTGCAAGTAGGGAGCGAGAGTGGAACCCAAGGAAGCCGACTGCAGGCCTCGGGCCGCTGCACTGTAATAAGGAACCTTAGATCATTCCGAATCATTCCCCTACTCTAAAATTTAGGGTTTAGGGTTTAGGGTTTAGGGTTTGCTCTTCCTTAGGGTTCCTTATTTATATAATCTACCCCAACACCCTACTCTAGTTCATAAGGCCCCCTACATTCTGCCTGGACCCACAACGCGCGAGGTCTCGCTGCTTATTCGCCCGTCCTGTCGCCATTGTCAGCGCTGCTTTCGTTGGTCGGACCGGGGTATCTGAACCCTTCTAAAGCCTGCACCGCGAACACTTTGAGGTCAATACGTGAACGGCACTGAAGATGCCAAACATTCCAATCTTCAATCCTGTCCGCTTACATCCCTGTACCAGCATGGCTGCTTGCTGGTAGGTGACAGTGCCCCTAAACCCTAAACCCCGGATGTCGTTTCAGGCTTTGTCTGAGCCACACGCAGAAAGACTGGCTGCAATCGGTTTTCGACCTGTCTGTTCCTGTATAGATCGAGGTCATGTTAGAAAAGAAGCTCGCATTGTGGTCACTGTTTTGGGTCTGGGATGTCCGATGTCCTCATTTTCGCATGCTCACTGCTGTTTTGATTGAGTCCAGAATCCAGAAGAGGAGGATGACCACCAGTAAACCCTAAACTTGTAAGCTTGTCAGAGGCGGCAGCTGTCTACCTGATCATCTATGCGGCGAAGGCTTCCCACTTTCTGTGTTGAGCTTCAGCTCCCACGTCCTGCATACGACTTCGAAGCCACTCTCCGTAGGGTTTGGCTTCGGAGTTTTTAATTGCGTGGCCGAAGTGGACGCATAGGAGGCGCCCTGAGATCCTCGCCGAAGCTCAATCGTTCCTTGCTTAAGTTTCGGGTGTAGGGAGGTTTCGGAGGTTCCTTGTTTGGAAAACCCTCTTAAGTTTCGGTTTCGCAGGGATCTTTCGGATTTTTACGTAGGGTCCTAGGGCTTAGGATAGGATCTTGTGGTTTCAGGAATCAGGCGGGGGGGGGGGCCTTCGGGCTTGTCTTGACGGCTGAATCCGAAACACCCCCCTAAACAGCCCTACAACGTCTTAAGCTTTAACACAGATCCATAAATCCCTGCAGGCCCGATGAACTTTTGATGAACCCTAAACTTGGGCCCTAAGCCCGAGAATCCTAGAACCTAAAATTAAAAGCCCTGGAATCCATCACAGCCCAGTCCCAAACCGATGAGAGTAGTAGAGATCTTCTATATAAGCCCCTGGACAGCCTTCTTGACACCCTCAACACAGCAAAGTGTCACCCTAAACCCTCAACCCAAAACCCTCAACCCCAAACCCTCAACCCTAAACCCTAAACCCTCAACCCTAAACCCTAAACCCTCAACCCTAAACCTTTTCAGATCGTCCTCGCGCCCTCGGGCTTCCGCCGCGACATCTCTGAGCCGGCCCGGGGGTTTTGGTCCAAGGGGGTTTGGGATTCAGGATCTAGGGTTTAGGGGTTTAGGGTTTTAGGGGTTTAGGGTTTAGGGTTTAGGGGTTTAGTGTTTAGGGGTTTAGGGTTTAGGGATTATGCTTTTAGGGGTTTGGGGATTAAGGGATGAGGGGTATGAGGATTTATAGATTCAGGCTGTGAGTTTGGGACCTTTTCGGTTTGTCGGTTCGGCAAGAATCCCATAAGGGTTTGGTTTTGCAAGGGTTCTATGATGAGGTTATCAGGGTCTTGTAAGGGTTTGAGGGTTCGGTTCGTGGTTTTAGGATTCGGAGGTTTATGATTCTTGGTTTGAGCTTTTGTGGTTTGGGGTTTGGTTTTTTTAGGCTTTTGACAGTGTCGCGCACGGGCAACGGGCATGGGTGCAAGATAGGGCCCAGGGGGCGGGGGCTTTCAACGTCGGGTGCAAAGCGGTTTAAGGGTTTAGGGTTTAGGGTGGAAGGTCAAGGTTGGGGTAGTTTAGGGTTTAGGGTTTAGGGTTTAGGGTTTAGGGTTTAGGGGTTCCGGGGCCGTATTCATGTAGGTATAGTAAAGAACCCGAACGAAGAGTATGGATAAGTATTCAGGCTTCCATATGTGTGGTTTGGGAAAATAGGGGACCCTAATATAGTAAAGACCCCAAAATACCCCTAATTTTCGGAAACTCCCATATGAGTGGTTTACCCTAAACCCTAAACCCTAAACCCTTAACCCTAAACCCTTAACCGTTTTGGCGGTGGGATTCTGGTTTTGCGTTTGGGGCTTGCCCAACTCGGGGCGCAAGTCCTTTGGGTCTTGGGCCCTTGAATGCTTCAGTGATTCGGGCCCGGGTTTAGTCTGGGGGTGTTTATAAAGTTCATGAAGGGTGACAGTTTGGGGTTAAGGGTTTAGGGTTTAGGGGTGAGATGTGAAATGCTGCTCAGGCCACGATGTCGGCGGTTGCGGGAGCTCCTGCCACGCTGCAGGCTTTGGATGTTCAGGGTGGCAGGCCATGTCAACATGTGCAGTTAAGAATCAGGTTGCTTTTTTTGTATTGTTCTAACATGACCTGAATAGCAGAAGCATGCCAATACGCCCAGATACACGTGCTCATGACTATGTTCAGCTTGAGCACCACCCTGTAGTTCCCGGAGTTCATCCCACGTGGAGACATAGCAGTGTCAACAATCGATTCTTGCGGGTGCTTACTCTTAACAAACCCTAAACCTTAAGCCCATCACCACGAAGTTCCAATATCTGTTGCTGGAGGCCAGGGATTTCTCATTCCGGCCTAAGCAGTTTCCTCCCGGATACGGCGACCCACGACCTAGACAACTTGAGTTCTGCAGTGGGCTAGGGCCGCTGTAGGGTTTACGACCAGGACATCTCTGCCATACTTCCTTGGGTGCGGCTTTCAATCAAGGCCGCCCATATGTACGGTCTCCACGCCTTTGATTGGTGAACTCCCAACCCTAAACCATGAACCGAACTTAAAGGATCATGGGACGTAGTAACTTAGACTAAGGTTATTATTAGGGTAACTATACTTATCACTACTTATAGCCCCAATTAAGGTACTTCTAACCATACTTACTACCGGTAAGTCCCATGATCCTCCAAGTAAACCGAACCCCAAGGCACGATGCCCCCAAACCCTGGAGTGCCAAGAGCTTTCGCGCCTGCCAGCTGCTGACGCTCCGACTGCACCAAGTCTCTGGTCTGCTACCGCTCGCAGCCACGCAGTCGGCGGTGTGCCTCAGCGAGAGAAAGGGCGGGGCAGAACAGGCTGCAGGTAGGTTGGGTTCTCAATGTGTCTCGAATGCAGAAAAAATTTAGTGATTGAGTCATTGTGTGGTGGAGGTGGTTTGCTTGTTCCCCAAAGTTTGCTGAATGTTACCGTCTCCTTTCCAAACAGAGAAAAAACGTCCATGGCTATGGTTCAGGGCGCCTGTGCCATCCTCAGAGGTTGGTCTTCCACGTTCTTCAGATTTCCTGCAGCCTGCGCTTCGTGTTTCTGAACGTCTCGCAGCTTGGCAGCAGGGCCTTCAGCGACAAGCGACGAAGCATTCTCTGGGTTCTTGTTAAGGGATTTAATTTAAGTTACCATTATAGGGATCTATAGTAAATAATATGGTTTCCTTATTATGGTAACTTAAATTAAATTCCTTTACCAGAACCCAGTTCTTCACAGCACACGAACAAACACCGCGTGGACCCGTCTTGTGCCTCGACTGCGTTGAAAGCTACCGCAAACAGCTTAACCTCATGCCGTATCATCATGCGATGTCCCATTCCGGCTGCATGACTTCTCCTTCTCTGCTTCAGGAAGCGGCTGCCACCCGATCCCTCCTGGTTTCCAGGCATGAGGGCCAAAACTTGGATTTACTGGCATATAAAGTCTGTATCACGCAAAGTGATCTAGTATCTGCTACATGATATGATGCACAGGAAGTCATTGCTCACTGCTTTGGGACCAAGCATCCAGGGTCAAAGCATTGTTCAGTCTTGAGCCATCCATTTGTAGCGCTCACAGCGTGCCTATTTCGTGATCTGCGAGCTCGGGATATGTATCTGTCCGAAGAAGGCAGCCACGTCCGATTCCCGAACATGCAACTCTGCAACAAGCTTGTTGAACCTCCGCAGCCATGTGCGTTGCAGAAACGGCTGAAACACGAGATCTGCCAGGCATTCTCCTGTACGGCATGACGAACATTACCTCTTTCGCCGTGGGTCCAGCATGGTTGCAGGCACTTCTTCATGAGAGGCTCTGCAAAATGCCTCAGGACTTCCTGTCATTCCCAGCATAGTATTGGTCATAGCCTGGCGGCCCTTGAAGACGCACAGTTCCGAAAGCTTGGATTTTGTTGCCTCTTCGCATCCTTCTCTCCTCCGTCCAGCAGGCAACAATGTCCGGGCATTTCTGGTTCACCATGACCCTGCCTCTTGGAACTGCGAGCTAGTAAGCTCCAACCAGGTTTCGCTACGCTCGGGTATCCCGGTCTGTTGTAGCTCAAAGTGCAGGATGTCTCTTTCAAGAGGCCTGGCAGCCCACGAGTCACGAAGCGAGCTTCATACCATAATTTCCACCGAGTGTCAATCAAGAACATCTCGTGTTGAGTGGGCTTGTAGGTATGTGCCCCTCAAGCTCGCGGTGCTCTATCGTCGCTCGGCTGCCCTAATCTCCGGACCCCACCATCCCGGATGGTATAGTGCACTATAGTATACCTTCGTATAGTATAGTATAGTATATGCTAGTATAGTATAGTATACTCTAGTATAGTATAGTATACTCTAGTTCAGTATAGTATACTCTAGTATAGAATAGTATACTCTAGTTCAGTCTAGTATACTGCAGTTTAGTATAGTATACCATCTTTCCATAGAAGCCCAAGCTCGAAGGAGCTCTTCGCCGTCCTTTACTCTTGCGCTGCTCGCAAGAGCGCAGCAGCGATGCTCTGAAGCACAAACTGCGAAGCCCGAAGCCTGAAGCCCTTTGGGTTGTAGGGTTTAGGGTTTAGATTTTAGGTTTTTGGGTTTAGGGTTTAGGGTTTAGGTTTTAGGTTTTGGGGTTTAGGGTTTAGGGGTATCCCTACTAAGTAGGCAATGCGCATCAACATCTACGGTTGATGATACAAATCCTGCATTACCCAAAATAAGGAATCTACCACACTTCCCGTAGTTTAGGGTCCTTAAGGTAATGCGCGATTTTTCGGTTTATATCATCAACAGTATGACTTTGGGATCTGACTGCCCAGGCTTGTTCCTCTCTCGGAGCCGCGATTCCGTGGCACCGCATGCCGGCATGGCCGTCGTCATGGCCTGGCAAGGGGTGGCAGTCCAGGGGACGCCTTTTTTGACAATAATCTAGGGGCCTAAAGAATCACCAATACTATTTTGGGGGTTTCTTATAATAATTATAGCACAATGGGCCCCAAAACCCTATTCCAATTATTAAGGCCCCTATATTAGTGTGGGCGCGGGGATAGGGGCACGGGCTTGCAACGACTTTGCCGAAGTGGTATGTGAGCTTCGGGAGTGCATCGTCTGCAGCTGGCAGTGAACTAAACACCTGGACGACTTAATCACGGGCGTTTTAAAGGACACCCTAAACCCTGCAGTCGTAAAGCCTTAAGCCATCTTAAACCTTAAGCCTGCCTTAAACCCTAAACCCTAAACCCTTAACCCTAAAACCCATCTTGAACCTTAACCCCTTATCAAGACGTTTGATTTCAGGCGCCAGCCTCCTTCTACACTATGGCCCACCTGAGCAGCGGCAGCCGGGATGCAGAGGATTTGGCGATTTTCCGAAAATTAGGTTTTGGGTTTAGGGTTTAGGGTTTCCGAAAATTAGGTTCTGGGGTCTTTATAATAAGGATCCTATTATTTAGGGTACTATATTAGGGTCCCCCATTTTCGGAAATCCCCATTTGGTAGCCTTTGGCTTTCCTTAATTCGTCCGCAGGCTGGTTGCGTGGAAGGAGCTCTGCGCAGCATCCCCACATGTCGTATACTCACAATGGCTTCGTGTTGCCCGTGTGTGTATATGTCTATATGTAAATGTAAATATACATGAATAAGTAAATAAATAACTAAATAAATAAATAAATAGATAAATAGATAAATAAATAAATAAATATATATATATATATATACATACATATACTCACAGTATAGGGAAACTGGGGAAGGTTCTTGAACCCTAAACCCGGAAAGCCGAAGCCAGAAGAAGTGAACGAAGCCCTGATCAAAGGGAAGCCCGGTGGTGACGTCATGGGCTACGTCCTCTTCGCCGACAGCACTCTGTGCTTCCTCCTCGCACTGAGCCTGCTCTACTCCAGGCGACGGTCTTGCATCTCCTGTGATTTTCCATCTGGTTGAGAGACCCTAAAAGACCCTAAACCCTAAACCCTAAACCCTAAAGTCTACGTCTTACGCTTTGAGATCGGGCATTTGGGATTCTGGGTTAAGGCCGGTAGAGGCGGAGGAGCCCCTGCCCAAGGTTTAGGGTTTAGGGTTTAGGGTTTAGGGTATAGACTAGTTGAAGTTATTCTGAGAGCGAGGGTCCGCAGCAGGCTAGGGGCTTGATGGGTTTAAGTCCAGATTTCTGATCTTGCGTCAGGATTACAGGCTTATGACAATAGGCTGCTATATGTGCACAGTCAGGCAGGCTGTTGGCAGTTTGGACCAGGTCGTATAACGTTAACTTTGATGCGCAAGGTTTTAGGCCTGACATGTTAAGCCAGCCGAAGGTCGAGTTGCTGAAATTCCTTCAAAGGAAAACTCCCGAAGTCCGGAAGCCTTCACCACGAAATTCCCAACCTCTGAACCCCAAAGTCCCGAATCGCAAACCTGCCCGCGCGCCCTGAACCCTGACCGAGTTCATCACACGCGGATAGACAATAGAGGGGCCTGAGTACTTACCACTGTTAACCACCCCTAAACCCCAAGAGGTAGGAACTCGGGTGGCTAGGGTTTCTCATGCGTGCGAGACAGGCGGAAACTCTGGATTTCCGGCTTTCACCCGACCTACGTGACCTGCTCTGATGATGAGCGGCTCCGTTTTTTGTGTTTAGGGTTTGGGGTTCAGGGTTTGGGGTTTCGGGTTTATGTGAGGGACATAAACATAGACAGAAGAGTACATTGATGCTCAGGTTAACGATGAAGAGCCTGAAGAAGACCCTAAATCGTGGATGTTGTAGAGGGTTCCAAACATGCTCATGCTCATCTAGTCGGAGGCAGCACGAAAGGTCTACCAGGTGTACTATGAGAGCGCCTAACTGCTAACTTGAGTCTGTAGCCGGTCCCCCGAAGCGCCGAAAGTGAAGTCCTACACTTCTGGGTTGTCTTTTGGGATCTTTTTTAATTTCCCTTACTATTTTGTAGAGAACCATAATAGTAAATAATTTTCAAAGGGCTTAAAGGACAACTTAGACTTCTTCAGGAGGCATATCCTGAAACGGGGGGGCCGCGATAGTTTGCGACTCAGAATCTTCCAGAGCTCCAGACCAAAAATACACACCCTCGCCCGCTGCGACGTGATACAGGGCGCTTGGGATTAGAGCTTCCATGAACCCTTGAGCTGTGGGCCTCGTCTTGATTGCCATCATCGCCGTTATATTTATCTGTATTGTTGCCATCACCCTCGCATGCATGGCATTATGTGAAGTTTTGTTCACTCCAAGGTGGCATTTACCTTTCCACTGGCCTCCACGGCGTCAGCAGCCCTCTTGGCTTCGGCTACTCAGATTGCGTTGCTCAAGCCATCTGGTGCTGAGGGCTTAAAGATCTTGGCGGTGCACAATAAAACGGGGTCTTTCTGCGTTGGCGCATTGCGGCCTTTATTGCAGGGTCTTGTGGCTTCGAGCTGCTCATTCTGCATTTCGCATGTTCCTGCACTTGCGCAGAAACATTGAGGTTCGGCCTTTACGTTCCCTTCATGCGGCCATGAACATGATACTCCCTCTCATAACCTTTGTCGAGGAGGGTGGGGTGCTTACAAATCAGGGTTTACCTTAAACTACCAGAACCTACTTTTTTGTAGGTTCTTATTATAAACCCTAGTATAGAGTTTGTAGGGGCCCTACGATAAAGTAGGTTTTGGTAGCTTGAGGTAGGGTTTAGGGATCTTCTTCAAGGAGCGCTTGCCCCTGGTGGCGGGTGCCGCCTGCCGCTCTTGGGCCACGGTGCTATTGCTCGCCGCGCTGGCCGCCTTTGAGCCGCATCATGGGCTCGGGTGTGTCAGGGTTTAATATAGGGGCCTTAATAATTAGATAGGGTTTGGGGGTATATAATACTATAATGATATTTCAGGAGCCCCCAAACCCCTATAGTAGGATTGGGTTTTGCTGAAGTCCGTTTAGGGGTCCGATGTGGCGAGTGTTGTCTGGGCTTGGCTGCCAATTAAGGGTCTTGGTTTGAGGGCTTAGCTCGCTGTAGCCTAAAGGGTGCATATAGGAGGAGTTATCTGTGGGCGTTTCCCGAATCCCCGAAACCCATCGCCACGCCCCAGCTTGCTTGCGTCTTGGGCTTCACACAAACAGGAGGAGTATCATCCCAAACACACACACAAAAAAAAAGAAAGCCCTTGGAAACCAATACTAAATCCTTGTGTGACCCTAGGCCTTTAAGAGGCCTTGTAAACCCTCAATGACCTCATAATATGGGGGTCAGAATAATTACCGATACAGTATCACTTAGGCTATTACAGTTTAGAATAGAATATACCCAAAAGGCCCATTCTTATAACCCTAAACCCTAAACCCTAAACCCTTAAGGCCCCTATAATAAACCCTGTGCCCTGAATCATGATCTTGAGCCGGCACGCCATGTCCAAACTGTCGACTTCGGTCTTGGGCGCCCCAAAGGATTATATAAGGGCCTTAATGGCCACTGATGCTATGGCTTAGGGTTCCTTGATATTCCGACGTTCCGTCATAGTCGAGGCCGCGCAGCAGATTTTGGGACGAAACCCTCGTTTACAGTTGAGGGGTTTAGGAGGTTCATCGGTTCAGGCTGGCTTGAAGTGGCCTGACCATCCTCGATTCCTTGCCTCAGGCCTCGCTGACGGTGCAGGCCGCTCCGTCCCACTTGTCCAAGATCCATCTCTGCATGGCTTGGGGCGTCGTGCGTCACGGATATGCTTGCTATTCTTGCCCGTCATTTGTTGGCTTAGCCGCTGTGTTGCTACATCATCATAGTCGTTGTTCCTACTATGACGATAAGTAGCTGTATTCGTCGGATTTGTTAGCGTGCATCGCAAGGTTCGCTGGCCATGGCGTGGAAGGTTATAACGACTAATATAGGGGCCTTAATAATTGGAATAGGGTTTTGGGGTATTAGATTATGCCATAATTATAAAAAGGAACCCCCCAAAAATAGTATAGGCCATTATTTAGGCCCCTACATTACTGCATGGCTTGTGAGTGTCAACGACCATGTCTGTGGGGCTTCGGATTTATGGTCCGAGTGCAGACACACCATCCCTAAACCCTACAGTAAACCCTAAACCCAATGCATGGCCTGGCCCCAAGTCTTCAGGGCACTCCGACCCCGGAGTAAGCACATGAACCCCAAGCCAATGCCCGAAATCCTAAACCTCCTTTGCAAAGGCTGGTTTCCTGCGCCTCGTCTTTTCCCTGCGAAGCCCGCGGACAAAGACTGCATAGCCCGGGGAAAAAAGCTGTGTCTTCTTTCAGAATCCAAGCTTGGGTTTCGGATATGATTGGGGCCTAAATAATTACCTCTACTATTTTGGGGTCCCTTATCATAACTATAGTATCATGGGCCCCAAAACCCTATTCTAATTATTAAGGCCCCGACATTATGGCTTGATGCTAGCCCTCAGCAAATCCCTAAGCCTCGGCTCCACACCCGGAACCCCGAAATGCGCTACAGCGACCTAAACCCTAAACCCTAAACCCTAAGCCCGGACAGCCCTGAGCCCAAAGCTTCGGAAAAGCCTGAGCTCCCCAAGCCTGAGAGGATTTGGGATGTGGGCTTGTCGGGGTTTAGGTTTTAGAGTTTAGAGTTNNGGTTTAGGGTTTAGGGTTGATAGAGTCTTGGTTTGGGTGTTTGGGTCTTTGGGCTTTCTTCTGAGCCCTCAACAGGCGGTGCACCTCGCAGCAGAGCATTCTGGAGGCGTTGAGGCCTGCAACTTCTCCACACTCCGTGAAGCGTAGAGAGCCGGTTATATGGAGTTTAGGGCTTGGGCTTTTATGAACAGGTTGTCCATGTCAAACGTGGATCAGTTGCTGCAGCCCTACTCGGCTCCACTGTGGAGGCTTCCATTTTCAGCTAGGCGAGCCATGGCCCCCGC